TATTTGGGTTGACAATGCAGGCCCCCTGCATCACTCTGCATTTGTAGCACTCACATTTATGGTGACTCACATATATACATATTATCCTTATAGACATACATCTATGTATATCATCATTTTTTATATACCATCTAATACATGTTAAATAAGTAAATATATATATTTAGGCTTTACTCACAAATATTGCATGTAAGTTAGAAGTACTGACAATATTCAGTTAGTTATTTTAAATCTAAATTTAGGGCTCCTGGGTGGCTCAGTCAGTTAAGCATCTGCCTTCAGCTCAGGTCATGATCCCAGGGTCCTGGGATCGAGTCCCACATTGGGTTCTCTGCTCCGTGGGGAGTCTGCTTCTCCCTCTGCCCCTCCCCTGCTCCTGCTCTCTCTCTCTCTCAAATAAATAAATAAAATCTTTAGAAAAATAAATCTAAATTTAAACATATTAGAATCTAAACATATTTATTTAAAAAGTGTGTCCCATATTTATGGAACCCTGTCCCCTTTCCTCCAGTCTCCCGATGCAATATCTAGTTGAACTGAGATGTTAGCTCTGTGAATTCTTTGGTTTCCCCAGTCCGGTCCAACGCCTCTTTCTGTGGGCTCATCTTTAGTTCATACCTATACTATGAGGCTTTGCGTATTGTACTACAACTTGCAGTATTAGACACTCAGTAAATGTTGACTCAATCAAAAAGTGAATGCTACGAAGAACTTCATTTTACTTTTAATTAGTCCTTCAGGTTCAGAGCATGAAAGCCAACATTGTTGAATTTGTTCCCTGACAAAAGCTCTCCGTGGGAGTTTTTCTCTTTGTGGAATTTGTATTGAGGAATAGATTTCCCGCTAGGGGGTGCGCATGTACCACTTACATTTCAAAAGAATCCTAGCATGAAAAAATTGAGTAATTTAAAAATAAGTGTTCTTGGATCTGTTCTTTGATTTTCTATTTATCTTTTCTTATGACAATTTTTAAAGGTTATATTTATTTTGTAAAGAGAATGAAAATTTTCTAAATGGAAGGAACAAAAGAAAAGAAGTACATTTTTGTCGTCAGCCTTAACAGACAATGCAAACAAAGGTAGCATAATTAAAGGATGCATATATCTAAAATAAAACAAAACTCGCAATTTACTTTTAAGCTGAGGAATTCTTTTACATCATGAATGACACTTGGTTGTAGGCATTGTTCTGCACTCGGTTTATTTGACAAATGTTTATTGAACACCTAGCACATGGCAGAAATAAGAAAATATCCTTGTCTTTGGGAAGTTCAAGGTCTAGTGGGAAGAGAGTCGGGTAAATGTAAAGCATATTGCACTGGTAGATGCTAGAATAAAGATATGAAAAAAATGCTTCAGGAATCTAGAAAGGATAATACTAGCTATGGTAAAAGGGGTCATCACAGAGAAAGGGGCATTCCTGGTTCCAGCCTAGCTAGCGGCTCTTATCCCAGGTGAGCCTCCCCAGTGTCTGTTGACAGATTTCAGTCATTGTCATGAGGATGGGTGTTCTGACTTCTGTCTCTGTGCTATGCTCCACAGCCCAACTGGTAGCCATAGGGTAGTATTTGGATATTTATTTGTCAACATCTTAGCACGACATTTGCCCAAGCATTCTGGTTCTCCTAGTCTTTCCTCATCCAGTCTGGGATCAAGGGACACCCCGGCGAATAGTTTAGTTGAGTGAGGCAGTGGGGTGTAAAAGTGAGAAGCTGAAAAACTTTGGAGAAGTAAAAGAGTAACTCTGTAGGAAGTCAGCTCCATTGGGCATTGGAAATTACTGGAACCCCAGTCAGCATGACATTAGTATGCTTAACTGACTAGTGAGTTGCCAGTGGATCCTATGGCATAGAAAGCTTTATTTTACTTGTGTTTCTTAAAGCAAATCTAGATTGTCAGAATATGCTGGTTTTAGGGGAAAAGACTCTTCTAAGCTTATGTCCTATGGATGGGTATGTGTGTGTCTGCATAAATACGATTAAGCATATGCTTGTGGATGAGCTAGATGAGTACCTAGAGGGAGGAAGAGCTTATAAAAAGATGGTAATTCATGTTGTAGGACTCGGCTGCTCTTCTCTACTACCCCAGAGCAGTTTTGAGAGAGGGAGATTACCAGTTGGAAACATCGGAAAGCTATAGTCTCAAGTGCCCTCATTGACAATTTTATGAGACTGCTGTTATAGGAAATGAGAGTCTAGACAGGTTTCATACTTCTTAAAGCAGCAGAGTTATTTTTTAAGTAAAAGAAATAAAAGGGATGAAAACGAACAACACAATTTGATTTAAATGCCAACACTTCTCTTATTCTCTCCAGTGTAACTGCTAAAGAGTGGGTGGGCAGGGGGAGGGTGAGGGAAGCAACACCTTGGTATGGATTTTCAACACTAGGAAACCAAGGACAAAACAAGTAACACATTTAGGTGAGTGTTTAGGTATTTTATGGACATTTCATGAGGCTCTACCTTTAGCTTTTCATTACAAGAAAATTATGGAAACGTATACATGAGATTTTTAGCGTTTTTATGAAGAGAGGATTATTTGTTAGTCAAGGTTAGAGGGAAACAAAGAATTCCAGATAGTTCTGTCAGGATTCTGGAATAATGATAGATGAAATCTAAACTCAACATAAGCAAGGTAATGCTTCAGAAGCAGAGATTTTCAATAACCATGTTTATGCATTGTGACAGCTTATAAATTAAAAACCTAGCAACTCTAAGGAAATACACCCAGCCATCACCAAGGATAATGTGATAGAGGTGACTGCTCTATAAAAAGGGGAGTTTGGACCTGATGCTATATGGAAAATGGAAGAGGAAGTCAATTTGAAAGTAGTATTTTACTGATTATTTGGTGTCCTACAATGAAAAAATGAATGCAAAAAACATCAGAAGCTGCTATGAAATAAGTAGCCCAGGTTAAGAGCTGGTAGGAGTGTAGGTGGCAAATTATATTAACTGTAGATTCAAATAATAAAACTATTGCTTTTAAATTCTTTGTATAATTCATTAATGTGGGATATTATTTACGAGAGCCAAGACAGAATGTAAGTTAGCCTGATTACTCAGGGGGGGAAAAGAAGAGGAAAGTCAAAATAAGTTAAAATGATTGAAGAGTTAAAATAAGAAAAGTCAAAAGTAGCTTGTGAAATTACCCCCTTAAAGAATTTTTAAGAGTCCTTGAGACAATTCTAAACTCAAAATCAGAAAATTGAACCATTTCAGTGTAGTCATATATGATCTTGGCTAAGTCATTAAACTTCTCTCAACCTCTATTTCCCTCTCTGTCTTGAAGGGTAAACAAATGGTTTCTTAGATGCCTTCCAGCTGCAAACTAGCTTTCTTTTGTCTGAAATTATGTTTAACACTAACATTAAGTAAGATTGAAGACATTTCCTCATCCATTTTCTTAACTACTAAATAGTATTGCTTTGCGGCCTATGTAACTATCTTCCACCCTTCCTCTGACTCAATATATTGATCTGCTTATTTCAGAGCAGAGACCCTGACATGTTCATAAATAGTGACCATTAGCCCACCATGTAGGGATTTTTTTTTTTTTTTACTTAAAAAATTCTGTTTTTGAATGTGTAGAGGGAAGAATATGGGCATACTAATCAGATAAACTTCGGTTCGAAACCTATTACCAGCTGAATGCAGTAGCAACTGTGTTTCCTTATCTGGAAAAATAGGGCTAATACCCACCTTGAAGAATGAGAGTATTATTCAGCTCTCAGATCAATACATTTTGAGATTTCTGTTCCCTTTCTTCCTATTTATAATCTGCTAGGGCCTAACTAGAAAAGAAAACAGATTTGATTATTTTTAGAGTCTTTAAAGAAATCACTGCTGGTTTCCAATAAAACCTTTATACAAAATGGAGTGAAGTAAGTCTCACAAATAATAAAAATTAGCCACTCTGACAGGGTTTGAATACCAAGGGGATTTTAGGCAATAGGCACTAAGTCTACATACACCGCCAGGATTCTTCTGCAGAACATTATAACCGGTCATTTCTTCGCTTACGGGCAAGATTTCCAGAATACCATGGGAAAATTAACCCTCATTTCAGTATATTAAGCTTTGAAGTCAGAATACAAAAACAGCCCGGGTCTATTTTCAGAGCCCGAGAGGCCTGTTTCTAGACGCTAGAGGGTTAGTCACAATGGGTTTAAGCCCCGTGTTGGTCCCTTCCCCAGAGCCCCCAGCTCCTCCTGGGCGCCAAATCCTGAAGGCATCCCACCCCCACCCCATTCGGCTGCTTCTCCTTTTCTATCTTCGCTTTCTCTCTTAAGTGGGCAAAATAGGAAACGGAAGTATCTATTTGTTGCTTGGTGTAGTGCTCAAAAAGGTTTTTTAATTAAGAAAAAAAAAAAATCCTCTCCAGGTTCATTTTGCAATGAGTCCGAGCGTCCGCCGGCCCCCGAGTCCTCCCCCATCCAAGTGTCGTTCATTCTGTGAGGACGCTCGAGTCTGTCGGAGGGGGTCTGCGCCTCCAGCCGCACAGAGGGATCTGTGAGCGAACGGGCTAGGGATCCGGGGAGGCGCGGGGAGCACCGCCCCCCGCCCGGCAGGGAGGCGCGGGAGAGGCGGCGGCCGGG